TTTGGGGCTGCTCTCCTCAACTTGTACATGGTATGGAAAGATCCCGCCTGAACTCGACCAAGTGCTGACACACTTAGACCTTTGGCGGCACGAACTGGGGTAACCTTGGCCATCCCGGTGGATACACATCCTACGATTACGGGTCGCCGCTGACTGAATCTCGCAACCTCACTCGAGAGAAGTACAGTGAGCTCAAGTTGATCGGTAACTTCGTGAAAGCCTCGCCATCTTACCTTCTGGCTACACCTGGCAGTTTGACTACCTCCGGATATGCCGACACCGCTGATTTGACCGTAACTCCTTTGCTTGGCAATGGCACCGGATCGTACTTTGTTGTCAGACATACGGATTATACCAGCCAGGCATCCACCCCGTACAAGCTCAGCCTCCCAACCAGTGCTGGAAGACTCACTGTTCCCCAGCTCGGCGGTACCCTGACGCTCAATGGACGTGATTCCAAGATTCACGTAGTGGACTACAATGTCGGCGGGACCAATATCCTCTACTCGACTGCCGAAGTCTTCACCTGGAAGAAGTTTGGGAACAGCAAAGTTCTCGTCTTGTACGGTGGACCTGGCGAGCACCACGAACTGGCCGTTTCACTCAATTCCGACATCCAGGTCGTCGAAGGATCTTATTCAGGAGTCACTTCGAAGAAGGTTGGGGGCGCTGTTGTGGTCGCCTGGGATGTGTCTTCTTCCCGGCGTATTGTTCAGATTGGCGACCTCAAGATCTTCCTGCTGGGTAAGCATTCTGCCTGTGATTCTTACTCCTCAAAGCTGATTCCGAGCAGATAGAAACTCTGCTTACAATTACTGGGTGCCGCAACTTGACAAGGATGACTCGTCAACGGGCTTCAGTTCCGAAAAGACTACTGCTTCGTCCATTATTGTCAAGGCTGGTTACCTTGTGCGAACCGCTTATACCAAGGGCTCCAGCCTCTATCTTACCGCGGATTTCAACGCAACAACTGCTGTTGAAGTGATTGGAGCCCCATCAACTGTCCGGAACTTGTACATCAACGGCCAGAAGACCCAGTTCAAGACCGATAAGAACGGTATCTGGTCCACCGAGGTCAAATACAGTGCTCCTAAGATCAAGATTCCCAGCATGAAGGATCTGGAGTGGAAGTATCTCGATACGCTGCCGGAGGTACAGTCGACTTATGACGATTCTGCGTGGCCGGCTGCCAACCTGGATGCCACACCTAACACCCTGCGACCCTTGACCACGCCAAAGTCTCTGTACTCGTCGGACTATGGCTTCCATACCGGTTACCTGATCTACCGCGGCCACTTTGTTGCCGACGGCAGCGAGACTACCTTTGACGTGCGCACGCAAGGAGGCTCGGCCTTTGGCAGCTCCGTGTGGTTGAATGGAACATTCCTAGGCTCATGGACTGGTCTCAACGCGAATGCGGACTACAATTCGACCTACAAACTGCCACAGGTCGAGAAAGGCAAGAACTATGTCCTCACTGTTGTCATTGACACAATGGGTCTTGACGAGAACTGGGTTGTGGGCACGGACGAGATGAAGGACCCCCGGGGTATTCTGTCCTACAAGCTCTCCGGCCGCGACGCCTCCGCGATCACCTGGAAATTGACCGGAAACCTCGGCGGAGAGGATTACCAGGACAAGATCCGCGGCCCTCTGAACGAAGGTGGATTGTATGCGGAACGGCAGGGCTTCCACCAGCCCCAGCCGCCCAGCAAGAACTGGAAGTCAGCTAGTCCTCTCGACGGCTTGTCCAAGCCTGGTATTGGCTTCTACAGCGCTCAGTTTGATCTGGATATCCCAAGCGGGTGGGACGTGCCGCTCTACTTCAACTTTGGCAACAGCACGAAGTCAGCTTACCGGGTGCAGCTGTATGTCAACGGGTACCAGTACGGCAAGTTAGTTAGCAACATCGGCCCTCAGACAAGCTTCCCCGTCCCGCAGGGTATTCTGAACTACCAGGGAACCAATTGGGTTGCGTTGACTCTGTGGGCACTCGAGTCGGATGGTGCCAAGTTGGATGACTTTGAGCTGGTGAACACCACACCGGTGATGACTGCGCTATCGAAGATCCAGTCATCAAAGCAGCCAGCGTACAGTCAACGGAAGGGAGCTTATTGATAGATAGTCATCAGTGCACAGTGCGTCAGGACGATAGTCGAGTACAACAATAAACCTGCTGTACATTCACCTTTTTAATCCAAATGATTCCTCTGTCAGATATCAATAGTCTGGACGTAGTACTCGAAAGTGGAATTGTTACTAGCTCGCCAAAAGAAAAATGTAGTGTAAAAAGGTACGGATACTCCCGAGGTGCCCACCCCAGCCACCGCATAATCGGGGCTCCGTCCGCTGTACCCCGTACATCATGCATCTCACCGACGCCGCAGTTTTCTCCCTCCTGACTTTCTCAATGTCACTATTATTCCAGAGTACTCCGTCCTCCAAGGGAGCATCTCGATCGCACTCGCGCATCCGCGGTTAATCCCACCACATGTCGCTCGTTGCACTTGCACCATCACAATCGCCATACGGATACCACACAAACAACTACCACCATTACCATCTACCGCGGAGCACACAACTACAACAATAATAACTGACCCTCCTCAACACTCCTCACACAACCATAACTCATCTTCAAAAGAAACAAAAAAAAAGGGAAGTGATGAGCCCCGTCCGCCGATACACAACAGTCTCCATCCCAGCGTCATACGGCCGGCTCGACGACGGCCCCTCCCCAGGCACCGTAGCGGGCATCGTCCTAGGCAGCGTCGCAGGGTTCATCTTCCTCCTGTACCTAGCGTACCTGGGCCTCGGCCTCAACAACAAACCGCACCCCGACGACGTGGAAGTCAGCACCGTGACGACGGAGTCCGCGCTATCGAGGCGGGTGCGGCGGGCGCGCCGCGGCGGCAGCGGCGGGGAACGAGTCGAGGTGGTCGAGGAGCGGCGCAGACGGCATCCCGACGATCATATTGTGGTGGAGGAGTCGGTGACGTCTGCGTCGAGGACGGATGAGGGGGATGTGGTGGAGGTTTTGGAGGAGCATTCGTCGGTTGATGGGCCGGTGGCGCCGGCGCGGTCGAGGTCGAGGAGGAGTCGGGTGTCGGGGTCTTATCGGACGGTTGATCCGTATGAGTATGGGGGTGGGAGTTCGTATGATGGGCGGTGAGGGGATATTTGGAGGCGGATTGCATTTCTTTTGATGTTATTATAAATACCCTTGATTTGATGCGATCATGTTACGATAATCACCTTTATGCTGTGCATCCGGATAATGAGTTACGAAGCCATGTCATGCTATGATGTATTTGAAATGGACACTCCCGTTGAACATCACGATCAGGCTGGTTCGTGAGATGTAAATTTCAATCCTTAAAAATAGTAAACAAAAAGTAATATTAACAAGAATAATACAGACTCCTCGCCCCTTAGGCAACCAAGAAATAGGGAACGATGCGGAATGAACGACGAAGAATCCACACAAAGGAGATATAACGAGTCCCGACCTGATAATGCTCCGTATCCGTTCCAGCGCCGTAGCAAAAGTAGTCAGAAAAGGATAGACACAAAGGCATTCGAGCAGAAACAGAATGTCCACGGCACTTTGCCCTCAATTTATAATGGCACAAGTCCCTTTCTTTTCATATTGCTTAGAACAGAATATCCAAGCAGCAACAGCATGCAAGAGCGGCCATGATACCGGCACAAATGCCACCGCCTGAAGACCCTCTTCCCCGGTCATCCGCATAGTAACCTTGCTGCTGTTGCGGGTATCCTTGCGGAGGATAGTACATAGGTTGACCCTGGGGAGGGGGGGAGCCGTATCCTTGCTGGGGAGGGGGGCCGTAGTTCTGGGGAGGGTAGTAGCCGCCTTGGTTGTAGTAGTCTTGGTTTGCGCCACCGGGAGGAGGTGAGCCGGGGTGGCCGTATGGGCCAGCATCATGAACGGGCGCAGGATATGAAGGAGGAGGGCCGTCCTAGAGATTAAACGTTAGATGTCAACCCACACTAAACGAAGAAATGGAGGGAGTATGAGAGATATAGGGAACTAACCGGCTTGTTGTATGACATCTTGATGTTTGCGTAAAAGTGACGAGGTTCTCAATAGAGGTGAATTATCAAAATGTACAGCTAATAGAGGCTGAAACTGATCACTAGTTCGAATAGACCTCAAAGGTGTCGAGTCAAGAGACAGTAGCTCTTTGAGCGGTTGGAAGATTGCCGACGACTGTCAGCTGGTTTTAAGAGAACGGATAAGGCGATATTTCGCTGCGTTGATATGCAGCGTCGCGCTGACGATGCGAAATATGGTAAAAGAAGAAAATTGAAAGGAGGGGCAAAGGAGAGGAATTGTTAAGAATAGACAGTCAGTCAGTCAGATGAAGTTAACAAGTACCCCAAGAAAGAGGCGCCCCAACCACTTGGCAGATGGCACGGGATCTCCGGATTCGGCAGGTCTGTGGCTGTACCTATGAGTACTTGTACAGAAGGTCTCTTACCATGCCTTTTAGACACTGAGAGATTATAACTACTGGCCGACAGGAGCCATCCTTGTTTTATAGATATTTCCAGAAAGACTATGACCACCACAAAACTGTATCTCAATCTCTGGTTTGATGGAGACGGAGCCATTCCAAGGTCGTAGGCATCCATGTAAAGTCAACTCCGGCACCGCCACCTTTAATTCGTAATGCATTCATCCACCCTTCTCGTGCCGGACATTGGCTGTCGGCAAGTCAGTTTGTCTCTTCGAGTTACTGAGTACTAAGAATATGGACTTAATCCATTATCAAGAACGAGCCTGCAAGTTATACGTTTGTCTGCCTTAGGCTTTACATGGCTTACTAACTGCTTATGACCGCTTGTCCCCTTGACGGCCCTTTCCACCATTTCTTGAATAGCCTCATAGTCAATGAGCATCATACTCGTGTAACACCACGCAACAAGTTTCTTTCTTGGTCAAAACCTGTCCTTATGCGACCACGGCGACCCCTATATTAGATTGCGAGCTCTGCCAGCGACCGGGGATTGGCGTGTACAATCATGGAGGTGTTATCCTCTACAATAGGCAGTTCGACATCGTAACCGTGGGCTCGATGGAGATCCGCCAATCTTGTACAAAGCCTCCCATCTTCCTGAGGCAATCTAACAAGAGCCCAATTCCGCCCTTTATGAACCCGCCGCAGCACATAGACAGGAAGAGCGGTCTTGTCTTGATGCGCTGTGCGAAAGTTGTAGTCATGATGGTTGATGTCGAAGGCCATGTAGGTACGGTCGTGAAAAACTTCCACAGCAAGAAAACGAATCCGGTTGTCGTGTTCCCAGTTAGGAAAAATATCGTTGAGTATTCTTTTCGCTGAATTACGATAGTCATGAGAATCCAGTTGGTATGTATTCATCTTCATAACTATTCGTTTCGCATTGTCGCTTTTGAATATCTCCTGACGGATACTAGAGATGTCGGTCATAATCTCGGTGCGAATATAGCTTGATGATAAGTTTGGCGAACAGGAACTTCTTCGAATCCTGGAAGCACTTAATAAATAATAAACCAGAGTGAGCAAGGTTCATCCCTTAGGGAAACGATCAAGAAACACCTACAATCCTACTAATCCAAGAATGGCAAGTAACACCAGTATCAGCCTTGCATTACCAGGCTGAAAACAACCACCATCAGCTCAGAACGAACTTTTGGAATTTAACCATACCTAAGGATAAAGCACCATACACGCCCAAAATCTGGACCCAGACATACTCTTTGCCCACATCACGCTCGCGGTACTCGAGGTAACCGCCCAACCCCATCGGCCGGGCTCGGGTGCGGTCTGTCTGTGCCCGCATGAACAGGAACACCGGCTCCAGGATCTCGTCTGCCATCTCGCGATCGTGGGCGCGCATGCTCTCCCACAGATCGTAGATGATGTATTCCACGGGAATGGACCGATCCGGAAGGACATCGCCGCGCGAGATCGGGATGAGCTTCTCGTTGTACGCGGAACCTTCCTCGAACGACATGTATTCCAGCAGATCTAGACAGTGTCAGGGGGTTCGGAAACTCGATGGCTGTGACAGAACTCCATCCAAAAACTGCGTCTTACCATCAATCAAGAACAACACCGTCAGCAGACGGCAGGCAAAATAAATGCGGTCATCCAGCGCCTTCGAGAAGTACAAGCAGGTTACCCGCGAAAACCCTGCCACTACAAACTTTTTGCGGGCCTTCTCATTGGGGAAGTTCCAGTGCTGGAGGAAGTAATCGTCCACTTCCTTGGATACCTCCTCCACCAGCGGATGGCAGAGAGGTTGGAAAGTTGAGGGGGGTGGCTCGAGAGAGCTAGAGGCTCCATTCGTGCCATTGGGTTTCTTCATGTTTGCGGTGGATGTAATGGGATTCACTTCCGGTTGTGTTTTAGTATGAGAAAGAGGGAACTGACTTGGAAGAAGCTGGCAGACTGAATGACATTTTACAGGACGTGTTGAGGATCAATGCCAACTGGCTGTATATCAGACCCCAACGATCTGACATCCAAGACTCCGGAGAGATGCCCTTTTGGGATGTTTCGGACGGACCAGTTCCGTGAAAAGCCCGGTCTTATTCCGCAATAGGACAACAGCAGCAAGCTGACCAGCAAATGGACGAAACTTACCGACGAACACTCCGACGGCCTTGCATGAATAGGCACATACATCTACACCAGGACTCACGACAGGCTGAAGCAATCGTCAGGGACACGAAATGATCAGGGAAGTGTCAATCCTCGCGGCCGAGTCCATCCAGCAATACTGGCATGCGTACTTCGATGCGCTCCTAGTGACCGCGCTCATTTGCAACTATCTCTTCACGACGGTGCAGTCAATCTACGCGTTACACAGCTCTCGAGATGGACGCGCTCCTCCCATCCTGCCATATACCATCCCATTTCTGGGACACTCCTTTTCCTTTCTCCAAGACACAGGGGCCTTTGTGCACAGCGTGAGGTCTGCTCCCTCCACGCCCTTCCACATGGATCGCTGCTAAATCATCCACACCAGAAAACGATATGGCAATAGTCTCCCCGATTGGCGGGGAATGGGTGCAGCTGCCGGATCTCTATTCCTTCTGGAAGAGTCGCATCTTCCACGCGGCGGTCAAGGCGCTGTTTGGGCCCTACCTGCTGTCCCTGACCCCTTCATTTGAAGAGGACTTCTGGGAATACGTCGATGAGACGCCGACGCTGATGAAGAGCATGCCCCGCTGGATGGTGCCCAAGGCGTACGGCGCCCGCGACCGTGTCTTTGCGGCAGTGAAAACATGGCATCGCTTTGCCCGTGCGCATTCCGACTACCGCCAGAATAGCCCTGAAGACCCCGACTGGGATGAGTACTGGGGGTCTTCCTGGCTCAAGGTGCGACAGCAATTTGGCACGAGACACGGGGTGTATGGATGACGACGCGCTGGCAGCCGAAGATGTTGCCCTACTGGTTGCGTAAGTCGAATGCGTCCCGAACCCCCTCGGAAAGACAGAATAGACTATCTAACTCGGAAATTTGGGAGCAATTATAGTGCCAATGCCAATGCCATTCTCAGTGCCGTCTGGCTCGCTCTGCATATCTACAGCGACGCGGACCTCAACCAGCTCCTGCAGCCCGAGTTCGACCGGGCCATCATCCACGATGCTGCACAAGATGGTCCGCTGCAATTCGATCTCACCAAATTGGTCTCCTCCCCTCTCCTGCAGTCGGTTTACTCTGAAGTTCTCCGGATGCGCATCGCCCTCATGTTGAACCGGACTCCCACGCAGTCCGATGTCCGGCTGGGACCGTGGCAGCTAGACAAAGGCCGGTTTATCGTACTCTCAACCCAGGTGGCAGCTCACGACGAGGCGGTCTGGAGCCCAGACCGGACGCAAAATGGCAAATGCCCTTTGAGCCAGTTCTGGGCTGAGCGGTTCCTCGTGCCGAACGAAGACAGCCAGGGGGGCGTGACCTTCTCGCAGGATGGACTGTCCGGAGGGTTCATCCCCTTCGGATGTGGCCCTTTTATGTGCCATGGACGGCACATTTGCCAAACAGGAGATTATGGGAAGTGTGGCTGTGTTAAAGGCATACTATGACGTGGAGATTGTGGACCGGCCGGCAGGATGGTTGCCCTCTGCCGACAAAAAGTTCTATGGCGTCGGTGCCATGCCCCCCCGGGGAGACCATTCCGTTCCGCATTCGGCGGAAACAGAGCTGTTGACTTGTCAATCCATGATGGTGAGATAGTAGTTGGAAGGAACAAGGTGGACGCATTGAATTCACTCCCTCGTCTGTAGAATAGAAACTGCACTAATGGACGTAGTCTGCCAGCGCCTTGTCCGTCCACTCCCACAGCTGCTTCGCCAGCGCGTCGTCTTTCGAGACCTTATCCAACTTGGACGACAGGATCCCGACGGGCTCGTAGAACTGCCCGTTCTTCAGGTTCTCCTTGGGCGTGGTGGAAGCCCACAGCTGGTTGTACGCACCCTCCTCCGGTTTCATCAGCTTCCCCATATTCGTCACATAGACAAACGCGCGGTTCGCCCAGCCCAGATTCTCCACCAACCCCGTACCAACGACGCCGGGATGGACGGACACGGACGTGATGTCCGGATAGCGACGGTGCCAGCTCGCGCGCATACAGGATATTGGCCAATTTGCTCTGGCCGTAGCGGATCCAGCCCCCAAACGCACTGAAGTTCTGCTCACTCTTCAGGTCCGAGAAGACAATTCCTGCGCCCGGGTGCATGCGGAACCCCAACGAGGTGAGGATGACGATGCGCACATCGGCACCGGGGAGTGCGGCCGTCTGCTGCAGGAGCGGCAGACACTTCTGGATTAACAGCGCGTGGCCCAGATGGTTCGTTCCGAATTGGACCTCGTAGCCGTCCTTCGTCTTGGCCGGCGGCACCGCCATGATCCCGGCATTGCACATGAGCAGGTCGAGGTGGGATTCCTGGGCCAGGATGGTCTCGGCCGCCTTCTTGACCGAGTCGAGGGAGGCCAGATCACAGGCCAGAAACGATACCTTGGTCCCTGAGTTCTGCGCCTGTTGGATCACGGCGTCGGCACTCTTCGCATTCCGGCCGCTGATGTAGATGTGCGCAGGAGAGTGCTTGGCGAGGTGGATGGCCGCTGCTGCTCCGAGACCGGCCGTTCCTAGGCGTTGTCAATAATCAGGCACCAATAAGGTACGAATACCTCCGGGTAAAGGTTCATAAGGGACAGACCGCCAGTGATCAGGATGACCTTGCCCGAGAGGTTGGGGATGTCCTTCTCCGGGGAGAACGAGACGCCAGCCATGATGCGTAGGAATGAAGCTGCCTTGACAACAGCGAAATGGGGAGTGACGATTCTTGTAAAGTCGACAGATGAAATAGAATTCAGAACATTGATAGGGGAAATGAACACTCGCGATGCCGTCCTTTGTTCGCCGAAAGAGGAAAGTCACCGAACACTTGAGTTGTCCCGACCCCGATCCGCAGTCTACCAGGGGGCTTATGTTCATCCGCAGGCCGAGTATGGCACAATTTAAAGCGACGTCTACCATACGAGTCAAGTCTAAGACGACAAAAAAGCAAACAAGGCCGTCCCGGACCCATGTAAGCACCAGGCGCCTCTATCACACTTCACTTGTATTGCTTTTCACGCTACCCCCAATCCGTGAAATTGTACTTCGCGAGTACCTGCGACACCCCATCATCATGGAACATACACTATATAATACATCCCGTATTTTCCCGCTCATTGGAGGAGAAATCCATGTGCCAGGAGGTTGCGGAACACGCCATCGCGATCGTATTTCCGCTGGATGGCTTGCAGGCGTTGCAGACTGCTTCCGTTGCCATAGCTGCGGAATGGCGTCTGTCCAACCCCTGCATCATTGAGATACAGGAACGAATGGCCTAGACCCAGAGCTGCCGTCTGCTGGCTGATGGAATTGGCTGCGTTACGGGAGAAGTCGCGGACCGCGGCGTCATCCGCGGCGTTGGACCAGGTGCTGGACATGAGGCCGGCTGGGCGACTGAGTGAGCGAGCGGCTTGCAAAGGGTTTGTATGGAGGTCATGGCTTACCGATGAATGGAGCATCGTTGGGGTCCAAATCCATGGCATCACCCCCCAGAGCCTTGGCGGCTTCGATCCATGCTTTGGAGATGGGCTGGAAGCTGAAGCTGATCGACAGGTCAGCGACATGCTGTAGAGTCGCGCGTGCCTGATCAAAGACTGTGTGATTGACGATGCTAATGGCCCGCGGATCCGCCTTGAAGCTGACGGTCCAAAACTGCTGTCTATCAAGTGGCTCTGTATTAGCCGAGCCAGTCAATGCAAGCGCAACATGGCACGTACCGTTTGTCTTCGGCGGCGTAAGCAGGGGTATTCAAAGCGGTAGGGAGATATGTCCATGGCCCAACACCAGATTCATTCAAGAGAGTCGGTCCATCAATGGCAGTGAAATTTTCGAACGCCTTCGGTTCGTTAACGGCATCGGCGTAGAACTCCAGGCTGATCACTTCATAGACTCGTCACTGCCGGTCATTTGTTTGAGTTTGTCTTTGTATTAAAAGATTCTTGGATTGAACTTGAGAAGTTGGTGTTTGTTTTAGCTCTGGAGAAGACAATCACAACTCCTGGCATGTCAATCAAAGTATTTATACCCATATTGGCCATAAGATGTGCCTGGACTCGCGCAGATGACTGAGACTCTCCGGAGTGTAAAATACTAAATCCGACACTACGGAGAATAGAGATCACCTTTGGAGGTAACTGAACCCAAAGCTGAATTGCTTAAAGTCCATGCTGTCAAGCTGTTGATGGGAAACCTGGGCAGGATTTCCTCAGGCATCGCTTGGGAAATGACAAGATGTGGTTGAAGTTATAGATCATGGTCAGCATGCTGTAGGATAGGGTTGTCGCAATTTGTCGTACTGCGGTGGACTACGTTAAGATTATCTACGTGACAACACCTCGGTCGCGCCCATCCATCAACGCGTCTTCCTCTCCAAGCTGGATGTTGTCACAATATGTCGTGGTCATTCCGAATTTCTCTTAATCGCCCCTATAAATCATTACTGGCTGTCTTTGGATTCTGGAAAACTCTTCTACTTCTCCTGGCTGTCTTCAGTCCTGGCCGTGGTTACGACACCTCCACCACGCTTCGGTTGAACCGAAATGCAACCAATGAAGACGGCGATGGACCATTCATAGCGAGCTTGCGTCTGGTTTCCACCAAGCTGACCAGATGGGACGCTATTTATTTCACCGAGGTCGCAAGCCGGGGCTATATTTTCGAGCAAGAATGGGCATTCGGTTATGGATTCACCAAGCTCATCAATTTCTTTGCCAATGGTGAGGGCCTTTGAAACTGCTGCACAGTGGCCGACTAATAATTATCTAGCTCTCCAACAGACAGGCGCCGTAGACTGCGCATTCAGGGAGCACATCGCCGGTATTATCATAGCTCATGCAGCTCATGGCCTGTCGGTGCTGGTTCTCTACCGTCTAGGATGTGCCATATTTTCCGGAAGGCAGGGCCGCATGCTCGCATTCGTCGCGGCGTGTTTACATATATTCTCACCTGCTGGACTTTTCCTTTCGGCTCCGTACGGGGAGAGTACTTATGCTTTCCTGAGCTTCACAGGCTACTTTCTCTTCGTTCAGAGCTTCAGTCTATCAGGAGCCTCCACGCTCAAAGATGCTCTCATACCACTAGCGGGTATACTGTGCGGATTAGCCACGACTATTCGCGGCAATGGTATCCTCAACGGCCTGCTGTTTCTCGAGGAAGCAATCAGACTGCTGTATTCCATGACCAGGGGCGTCACCTTTGCAAAGTCTCGTCGGCTACTCGCCGTTGGCATAGCCGGTGTCTGCACCGCTCTTGGTTTTGTGGTGCCGCAATACATTGCTTACCGGGATTTCTGCGTCAATTATCCATATACGCACGATGAAGAACCAAGGATTTGGTGTCGTAGGAGTCTTCCATCTATCTACAGCTTCGTCCAGGACCATTATTGGTACGTGTCTAGTTGGTATTCGTTACGCCGCTGACTATTTCCATAGGAACAATGGGTTTCTTCGGTATTGGACTGTGTCCAATATCCCCCTGTTCGCCTTGGCCAGTCCAATGCTAGCGATCATGACGTATTCTGCCCTTTGGACTCTCGACGTCGAGTCAGGCAGACTGACAGGAACAAGCCGCGTGTTGCGTAGCCTGGCGGCTCCCCAGCTCATCCTGGCCATCCTGACATTCGCCAAACACCATGTTCAGATCATTACGCGCATGGCTTCGGGCTATCCCGTGTGGTATTTCTGGATCGCGGATCTTCTCATGAAGGAGTACTCCTCGGTCCGTCTGGACAAGAAGGAGGTTGGGAGTCAGAAGCAGCGCTCGTATGCGAACCTGGCAGTCACCTATATGATTTCCTATGCTGCTGTTCAGGGTGTCCTTTTTGCTTCTTTCTTACCGCCGGCATGACTGCTCATGAGGGGAACAATAAAGCTGAACTACCTCACTGTCACCCTGTCTATAATATATAATACTAAGTTCTATAGCATATGCAAGGGAAGAGAAATCACCTGAAATAGGTGAAATTACAATAGGCACAGAAACCTGTTTTCTAGTGGCTCTCTGCATCCCATTTATTACTTAGGCACAATTGGTCTACGCACCCCGAAGCAGGTACCCGACATGACGATCCCCAGTCTTAAACATAATCAGCCACGTCCAGGTATATAACAGCTAAACTACACCCAGTCACCCTCTCTTCTCTCTTCCCTGTCAGTCCCTCTCCCCATCCCCGATGATGCCTCCAAAATGGTGGCCCAACTCTTCCCACCCCGCCATGTCTACTTCCCCTCCACCCCCTCCCACACCTCCACCGTCATCCTCCTGCACGACACCAACAGCACAGGCGCCGAGCTAGCCGCCGCGCTGGCCGCCTCAACAACAGCAACAGCGACAGCTGAAAAATCTATCTTCGAGCATTTCCCCTCCTGCCGCTGGGTGTTTCCCTCTGCTCAGCCCCGCCAGATAGATACCTGCCACGCAAGCAGGGGGGATTGGATCGACGCCCACATCGACTTCAACACTGATGCGAAAGAAGACGCAAGCGCAGATTCTCCTCAACAAACACAGGCACAAGCACAGCCCTCCACAGAAGCCACAGACGACGACACAAACGAAAACAGAGACCAAAACCTAAAAACCTGCGTAGAGTACATCCTGCAAATAGTAGAGGAGGAAGTCGGCCGGCTGGGCGGGGACAGTCGCCGCGTGGTGCTGGGTGGGTTCGGGCAGGGGATGGCCGTTGCGGCTGCTGCATTACTCGCTGCGCGGAGACGATTGGGTGGGTTCGTGGGGGTGAACGGGTGGGTTCCTTTCGCGGAGGGGATCGAGGGATTAGGTGGCCGGGGCCGGGGCTGGCTTGCTGAAGATGAGGCGAGGATGGGAGGGTTAGAGGGTTCGTCGGGAGCTGACGGAGTGGAGGTGGATTCTGAGGCTGGGGAGGCGTTGCTGGAGACTCCGGTTCTTCTGAGCTATCTGGAGGATAATCCGTGCTCGGATATTCGAAAGGGGTTGACAGCCTGCGAGACATTAAATCGCTTGGGGTTTGCCAAGGTGGTTTGGGATGCTCGTCCTGGTTCACAGCAAGGTGAGATTTGGCTCTTACGTTCAAGCCAGTTAGACACAATTGTGGGTTTCCTGGCAGAGGTGTTTGGTCATGAGGGACAGCATCCCTGCTCATGATGTTATAATGTTATGATGTTTGATAAACTACTTGGAGCATCAGGCAGGCAATGCATCTCCTAAATAGTATTTCCAGTCGCCCATGTCGTTACTTACAGGCTGAAATGAACTCGCTAAACCAATCTTTTTGCCTTCTCTGCAAACACTTTTGAAGACCACATGAATCGGAGAGGAGACAAGGGGTTGCATGCGATGGCACACGTCGGGACAGGGAGCAGAACGGAAATGAAACCTGAAATTACACTGAGAATATAAGTCACGAGGGGAAATGCCCGGCCGCCTCCAGAAGAAGGCTGTATCACAAAGATATATAAAGACAAAACAAGAAAAGGAAATTCGGAGTCAGCCATGCCCACTGACATCTTCATGTGGAAAAGGTGAAATGGGCTGCGGAAAAAAGCTCGGGTTAGCAATGCTTGGGAGGAATCACAGAAAATGAGAATGCAAACTTCGGAGAAGCTCTTGCAGATCTAGAATGCCAAAAAGCACCCGCTGATGCAATGGAATGTGCATGCGATGGGCATAGATCGAGTCTATATCGTTCGTGTTTCTCTTCATGCCGTGTCCTCAATCGAAGCCTTCTGGAGCTCCTCAGAGACATCCGCGGTGGCATCGTTCTCCTGGTTCAGCTCAGCTTCGGCGGAGACTTTACCATTGACACCGCTGTTCTCAATAGCGACCTTCTTGGCATGGTCGGTAGCACGCTGGCTGTCAGAGTTCGCCTCTTCCTCCTCCAGACGCTTGATCTCCTCCTGAGCCTTCTTGATGTTCTACACAAATCAGTCAGCGCATCGAACATCTTGTGCAAATATCTGCATTAACTCTTGTTAACTCACCTCCTCAGTCTTAGCGGCCTGGTTCTTCTTCCACTCGGTGACCTTGGCTGCAAGCTTCTCGACGACAGCAGGAACATCGGACTGGTTCATAGGAGGATCGATCTTGACCTTGGCAAAGTCCTCGATGACACCGACGTTGAGGTTGAACTTGGTGGGCTCGGAAGGAGTTCCGGGGGCAGGGCTGCCATTGGCGGTGCCCTTCTTACCCTTTTTGCCCTTCTTGCCGCCGGTGCCGATGAAATAGTCTTCCTCTCGGTCCTCCTTCTTCAGGACCTTCATGCCCTTGATGTTGGAGTCGTCAACGGTACGGCCGACTTGAGCGCGGAAAGCGGAAGACTGATCCTTCTTGTCATCGAGACCAAGGGTGGAGAAGTCGTAGGACGGGTTGAAGTGGCGGATAAGACCTTGGGCGATGAGAATCTCGTCAGTGTAAGCGGGACGGGAAGCCTCCTCAAGCTTCTTGTCGGCGATCTTCTTCTTCTTTTCGCGCTCAAAGGCATCGCGCTGGGCCTTTTGCTTCTCCCGGCGGATCCTCCAGGCCTCGTCCTCATACTCCTTGTACGCCTTGCGGGCCTTGTAGTAGTTGTCCTTGATCTCACGGATGGCAGTCCACTTCTTCTGCTGCTCAGCGTGCAGCTTAGTACGCTCATCTCTCAGGGCGTTCAGGTTCTTGAAGGCACTGTCCTGCTCGGCCTTGATAGCATCGAGCTCCTTCTGGATCTCGGTGTACTTGTCGCTCAGAGCCTTGGCTTCGGGGTTGTCGAGAGTCTTCTTGAGGGTAGCAATCTGCGCCTTCAGGTCGTTGATGACCTTCTGCGCCTCGTCCAAGCCGGCAAAGTTCTTGCGCTGCTTACGAAGAGTCGAGATGTCGGAGAGAGCCTTGCGCTCGTCCACCAAGCGGAGAGTACCAGAATCGACTTGCTTCTCGAGACGGGCGATTTCACGGTCAATATCCTCGACATTCTTGAATGGCATGCGAGTGCGGGAGTTGTTCTGCTCGGTAATACGGGCCTTGAGGGTCGACTCCAGAGCATTGATCTTCTCCTGGGTGCTCGTTCTTGAGGCCTTGAATCCCTGCTGCTTTTGACGAATGGAGGAGAGCTCAGCACGAAGTTCCTGTTGTCTCTTGGCTGCGGGCGAGTCCTGGTTGTTAGGCTTGGCGCTCTCGATCTTGGCCTTGATTTGGTTCTGCGTATAGTCAGTATCTTCTTATATGCTATACAATTATGCAACTGGTCGTATACGCATATCCTTAAAGCAGAAGAGAAATGATACAAGTGTGAGGGTCGTTTTCCACAGAGGGAGGGGTAGAGGTATGGAAGAAATAAAAAGAGGCGCATTGTGCGGAGCATCAAACGAAACAAAGTAATAGAACAATGGACATTATCAATTGACGGAGACTTCACATACCAATTTCTCCTGGACAGCAGCATGCTCCTTTTCAGCCTGAGCCAGATCGGCCTTGAAAGCCTCCTCGTTGGGCTTGGTAGGCCTGGCTTTCTGCTCCGTAGCAGGAGCGACATTGACGACGGCAGCCATGACTTTTGAGACTTAAAGAGGGGGAGGGAGGAGGAAGGAGGAAGAGATGAGTGAGAAACTCAAAAGTGAGCCGAGATTGATCGTGTGGATCAATCGCAGAGAAACACAGCTCAGGGGAGTGGGAAGAAAGGAGGGTAGTTAACACGAGAGTGATACACAAAAATAATTGATAATTGCCAGGTAGGCGGAAAGTTGGGGAAGGGGACCGAGAACTCGTGCCTCTCGTCTTTCCCTGGCTCACTCACTATCTTTTTTTCCCTAGCTCTTCTATGGTAAGCCCGGCCTTTACTGGCGTCTGATTCTCTTCTGTTTGGCGGCGCTTACCATTGGCGCTCTTAGCGCAGGTCCGCCCGATTTTTCGAGAACTTCGATCACCAACAGCATCCAAGTTTCTACTTATCAACCGATTTTCTTCCATACGACCCCCGTCTGCGCCTAACAAATTTCTCGGCGCTCTCACCGAGATAGCATTTCTTCTTCTTGTCACATTTTCCTCTTGACCCAGCGGACAGGCGTGGTTACATTCAACTTTCAGCCATGGATGAAGAGTACACCAGCTCCGCGGAGGCCGACCGCGAGATGACCAGACTTTGGCGAACCTGGAGGACGGTATTCGAGATGCTGGCGGATCGGGTGAGTGTCTCTGAAACTTTTATTTGTTTGCGCTGCGTTGTCGTGCGGTTACACTAACACGATCGTTCTGCTTTGTAGGGGTACGAAGTCACAGAAGAAGAAATTCAAATTCCCCTTGATGAGTTTAGACAGAAATACGCGGACCCTGTGGGATTCCCTGAGTATGCGACTACCCTGGACTTCTTTGTTCGTCATTATTCAACTTATCTAACGCACTTTCTTCAACCATACAGTCGCACCAAGATGAAAATCAGCGCTCGTCCCACAGCAGCCATGCAAGCCAAATACACACCTTTGCCCACCCCGGCCAACCCGGACCCTCAACCAGACTGTGGTACTATCTACGTTGAGTTCTGTGCCGATTCCACCGGTGTCGGTACCAAGCAAGTTCGAGCCTTCAATCACTTTGTCGATGAGAACAACTTTCACACCGGAGTCTTCATCACTCAGACGCCAATCTCGCCATCTGCTGTGCGCCTACTGAGTGGTATTCCTGGTCGTATCTGTGAGCATTTCCAGGAGCAGGATCTACTGGTCAACATCACCCGTCACGAATTGGTTCCCAAGCACGTCCTGCTGAGCCCGGAGGAGAAGAAAAATCTGCTCCAGCGGTATCGATTGAAGGAGTCGCAACTGCCTCGTATCCAGGTCTCTGATCCCGTCGCGAGGTACTTGGGTTTGCGGCGGGGACAGGTCGTCAAGATTATCCGAAGGAGTGAAACCGCCGGTCGCTATGCCAGTTATCGGTGGGTAATTTAATCTCGCTGGACTGCATCAGTACACATGTCTTTTTGAGCGACACAATCGTTCGCAGAAGACCTTTTGTGCGCCTTTCACATCTTCATGAGTCGGTTGCGTAAGAGTCGACCTGAAGTCCTCCGGGGTTATATCTCTGTCTCTCCGCTCTGCTTAGAGGACCAGGGTCTACATTTCTCAGTACAATTCGTTGCGCTCAATGAGAAGCGCCCGGAGGTGATCTTGAATTGAAACTACGATTATACCCTCGGATAACGAAACCAAGGTTGGAGAGTCTTGTTGCGTGGTAAACGCCGGCAACAAGTGGTTGCAGGAAGGGGATCAAGAAAGAACAAAAGGAAAAACATCGAAAAGTTCGTCCACTTGTACGTATTATGGGCAGCATGGCGCACGGGCGAAAGAGAGACTTCAATTTTGGTCGGGAACTGTTTCGTCACCAAGCTTTCTTCATTTCTTTGTGATCTTATGTGTGTATGCAAGTCCGACATTTCCTATTAGATAACCACTTCAGGTATAGAATCAGTCGGAATTCATACAAAGACTCGGATAAATGGTTGATATCAAATTCATGACTTTGTCCCGACCCTTAGTTTCAGGAGGCTTGGTCAATTGGTGCTTTTAATGCCTCAGGCTGCAAGGGCCCCACGGATAGCATAGCCGCCGGCGCTGGACAGGCCGAGAACGCTGCCGAGAGTACGTCAGATCGTAGAACTAGAGTGTGCCGCCCCCGTGATTTAGGTTGAGTCTGCTAGTTACTTGATGTTTCTCAAATATTAATCGTTGCTTGTGATCCTCGGCCATATGTACCGTCTTTTTCTTATTGCGCAAATTCTTCAATGAGCCTCTCAATTTCAATCTGATCTTTATTCTCGAAAATGTTGGTTTGAGATTTTGATTTCACCTCTTGTTTGTTTTGTGACTCCATTGCTGCCACTGCATACACGTTTCCCTTCATTCTCCTTCATCGGCATCGTGATCATGCAAGAAGTGACCGTAAGACCTTCCCACGTTTGTCACTTGATCTGCTCTTGGCTTAACAAGATGCTAACCCAATTTCCCACCAGGCTCTTTTTGTGAAGACTCAACCGGGTTCTTACATGCGTTTACGCTCTCTTTACCCGTCAATCCCGCGATGCTCCCGGACCCGGACTTCTCTACGCTCTTTTTCCAACGACTCTCATTCACGTTCGTCAACCGATACCTTCTTCCCGTCCGGTAACCATGATACCTTAAGAAGAAGCTCCAATCCTTCCAGCCATGGACTCTGGACGCCGTCGCAATCTACAGCTTCATTCTCTACCTCCTCTTCGCTCTCGGAGCCAGCAGATTGGGACGAGAATCCAAATCTTTCAATCTCTACCTTTTCAGAATTACCGTCCAAAGACTTTGGCGTCAATCAGCATATGATCATTAATCAAGAATTCAAAGAAGCCCTGCGTCAGATTCTGTGGCAGTTCCGCGCTCCGATCCGATATGCTTTCGCCTACGGTTCCGGCGTCTTCCCTCAGTCCGGCAGTACAACGGGGTCCAGTCAATGCCACCCATCGGCCCCGGCTGCAATTCAGAAAATGCAGCAAGGCAAGGGCAAGATGATTGATTTTATCTTTGGGGTATCATATAGTCAGCATTGGCACGCACTGAACCTAAGTCAACACCGTGACCATTACTCCGCCTTGGGGTCTACTGGGTCTTACCTAGTTTCACAGGTACAAGACGGATTCGGAGCAGGTGTATACTTCAATCCTTACGTGACTGTTAATGGCACGTTAATCAAATACGGAGTCGTGAACCTGGATACCCTGTGTAGGGATCTCAGTCAATGGGACACGTTGTATCTCGCCGGACGGTTACAGAAACCAGTGAAGATCCTGCGCGACCACCCCAGAGTACGCTTAGCCAACCAGATTAACCTCCTGTCTGCGGTCCGGGTAGCACTGCTGCTATTGCCAGCCGAGTTCAGCGAATTCGAGCTGTACACCACTATCGCGGGAATCAGCTATATGGGAGATCTCCGCATGTCACTGCCGGCGGAGGACCCCCGGAAAGTGCGGAATATCGTCTCCGGCCAAATGGCGCACTTCCGGCGGCTATATGCACCTCTCATTGAGAATCTTCCCAACGTCACGTTCAACGACAGACGCTGCACGGAGGAAGATTGGATCGACGACCCCAATGCGAACGTGCGTCTTACACAGGATATGGACCCGGTGAAACGGGGCAATATGGTACGGCGGTTACCCGAATCATTCAAGCAGAAGTTGTACTTTCAGTATCAATCTCGATTCGAAATTCCCCGAGTCGAGTTCAACAAAATGATGAAGGAGAGCAGCGACAGCGACTCCGAAGTAGTGCGACGGAGGCAGGGCGGTCCATTCGAGCAACGAATCGCAGCTGATGAGAACCTTAAGAAGGAAGTACAGGAGTCAATAATGAAGACGATTCGTTGGCCAAGTACCGTTCAGACCATCAAGGGTTTGTTTACTTCAGGGATCAGCAGAACCTGGCGCTACTTGAGCGAAAAGCAAAGCAAGTACAGAACCTCGGGCCGGAAAGCTAGTGCTTCAGCCGAAGAGACGCCTTCGAAACAAGAATAGACCGTTCTTCATATGAGCAATTCATCTTGGGTGTCATCAATACACGGGTGGTGAGGATTGGCGATTCTTGGAAATCCTAAGGCATATCGAGGCGTTGTTCGATTTTTCTTCATGAAGTACATATGTAACTACTATGCTCGGTCACCAGCTACATTCACATCATTGACATACAATAAACAAAGTGGTATAGAATAGAATACAGCAGTGGGCCAGATTGAGTCATCGTTCAGTGCAAGTAGTTGAGTCAGAATTCAACACCGGATTCCGGAGTTATCATCTTCTGTCTCCCCGCTATCCCCCCACCACTTTTTGAACTCCAAGAAATTCCTTGTTAGATCATCATCCAAACCAACACAATGGCTCCAAGATCGTCGCCATTCGATCTTTCAAAGTGCGCACGTCCGAACATCTTAAGGCTGCAGCCTTATCGATGCGCAAGAGAGTGTGTTTCCCCAGAATCATGGCTTGCAAAAGTCCGTCGCCAGAGCTAATGAGTCAGTGACTACAAAGATGACGGGACGAACATTTTGCTCGATGCGAACGAGAACGCCTACGGCCCAGGACTTGCGCTCAATTCCGAAGGCACACTCGAGGAATCCACCGTCAATGGGGGCTCGCCGCGGTCTTCGAATCCCGAGATTGATTTCTTGGGCTTGAACAGATACCCAGACCCGTAAGCGTAGCGATTTCCGCGGTCGCATGCAAACGCAACCCATTCGTACTGACATGGTGTGTGACCGCAGACATCAGATCGAATTGAAGAAGTTGTTTTGCAAGTTTCGCAACACCCACGTTCACACACAGAAGGACCTACAGCCGGAGAACATGTTCGTGGGTGTTGGGTCAGACGAGGCCATTGACGCCCTTTTGAGATGTTTCTGTGTTCCTGGAAAGGACAAGATTCTTACCTGCCCTCCTACATATGGCATGTACGCGGTCAGCGCGGAAGTCAACGATGTCGAGATTGTGAAGGTGCCCCTGGACGTCAACAATGGCTTCCAACTGCAAGCGGACAAGATCAACGAGACATTGTCTGCGGATCCGGCGATCAAAATGGTGTACATCTGCTCGCCCGGTAACCCCACTGCGAACCTGATCAAGAAGGAAGACATTCAGAAGGTGCTGGAGCACCCCACGTGGAACGGGGTGGTCATTGTGGACGAGGCATATATTGACTTTGCGCCCGAGGGCTCCAGTCTTGCCGAATGGGTGACCGAATGGCCCAACCTGGTCGTGATGCAAACTTTGAGCAAGGCCTTTGGACTAGCAGGCATCCGACTTGGCGTTGCATTTACAAGCCCGGAAATTGCCCGGCTCTTGAACAGCCTCAAAGCCCCCTACAACATCTCAAGCCCGACGAGTGCGATCGCGACCGCCGCCCTGTCGCCTCAGAACATGGCCGTCATGCGCAAGTACCGCGAACAGATCATTGCTCAGCGCGAACGAATGTTACAGGAGCTCCCCAAGATCCCAGGTGTGGGTCGTTTCCTCGGTGGACAGGAATCCAACTTCCTTCTCGTAGAAATGCTCGACAAGCCTGCCAGTGGGGGCGGAAAGCCCAGTAACGCTGTGGCCTTGGCGGCGTACGAGGCTATGGCTGAGAAGCGGGGTGTCGTCGTCCGGTTCCGGGGCAAGGAACCCGGATGTGAGGGTTGTCTGCGGATTACTGTAGGAACAGAGCAAGAGGTCACTCGGTTCCTACGCGAACTAAGGGCCGTGCTGGATGGTCTCCTGAAAGGGGTGGAAATCAAATCGGTCAGGGACGAGATGAACAGGGAGAACCAAGCCAATCAGGTTGTTGCCTGATTGTTCTGGGTAAAGCAATTTTAATACAATATTTTTCGGGTTACTAGATATAGATTATGTGATTAATAAAAGCTATCTGGCACGAATCTGCTCTGAACTCGGTAATCCCAAATCGGAGGGAGAGCCTGAAAGGTTGTATAATATAGTCAGCCACTCCGTACCACATTGCATCTTTGATCTCCAAAGCATGGACAGTGTGACCAGGTAGATAAACTAAATCGTAAAAGAACGGCCGAACCCTGCCTGTCTGTCTGACTTGCATTTGGCGTAGCACAAGCATGGATCGGGAATATTAATCTGCGGTGTGAAACGGTTGATTCTCTCTGTCTTGTCCATCCTGGTCAAAGTTACTTGTGCGTCTGCCGTATCTCCCCTTCCTCTTGTCCATGTAGTCTACAGTTCAGACTTTGGTAACATCCGCCCGGTCAGCTGCGTTCCACGTGGGGGAGGGGAACCATGGTGGCACAAAGCAAGGGACTGCAAAGGAAAGCTTTGAGACAATGTCAGTCGAGTTTATAATATATGGTATAAGTTACATTGATGATGGAAGCGGTGAATCTCCATTTCGAGGCGACATTGCACTTAAAACACTTGTTCAAAAGAGCTAAGAGAAAAGTAAGGTAGTCTAGTGGTATCGTTCGAGACCAGATCATAGTAGGTTGTACTATGGCGTTGGGCAACATCCCCTCGAAAGCAGGCTTAGTCTACACAGTAGATAGATAGTCTAGGCCAATTTGGCTTGACTAGCATGCAATCAACCCGAGAAATAATAATGCTAGCCTCGTTATCATTATCAACCTAGGCATCGTGCGGTGTTTATTGTCATGTGTTTGCTTGTAGATAGTTGGCACAACTCAACCATCCCTCAGCCTCTTATCACGGACGAGTCCCGAGCCACCCCATTGCGGATGGTCCATAGATCAAGTGTTCAACGCAAGTAGGACTATCTAGAGGAAGCATAACTAGAGAGCCGGTCACATCATGATCCAATGTCCAGTTCCCGTCTCATCCTCGGTCGGTGGTTGGGTGGTTCATCACCTGCGTGCCATCGTCTATTCGTCTTGGTTGCGCCCATCTTGGCCTGTGCTGTTAGCCTTGAACTTATCTTCGACCCTCTCTCTCTCCACAAGTTTATCTAAGCGAGTTCCCTGTCTTTTGCCTCCCGTATCTTCCCTCTGTCCCTCTCGATGCCCAGCATCCAATCCCAGTCACCGACCCTCAAATACCCGTCTCCCGTCATATCAGGAGGCTATCACACGAGCTTCTTAGCTAATGGCCAGTGACCACTCAGCAGGGGCCAAGTCTTCCCCTCCCAATCCCTGGTGTTATCTTCGGGGGCTTGGTTATCTCTTGCCCTTAAGACGCCGAGAGTATTTGCTAACTGGATCGAGTCTGGGTTCTCTCAATTTCCGTTGAGCAGTTTTCTAGTACCATGGCGATGAGGCACGATAGACTGACTGGGCAGTTTGATCTCCACCTGCGCTCATCGCGCTACTTTACCTTGAGGTCCTTCCAGCTCTCCCAGGGCGAGAGATTCGTGGCGTGGCTTATTTATTTACTTTGTCGAATTGGTAGCTTGTCCAAGCTCTTTTCCTTGCTACCTTGGTTGGTACCTAGTTATATATCAACGGGTTCGACGCTTTCAAAACGGCGGTGAATCCGAAGCTCCCTCTCGAGCTCTCTCGTCATCATTGTTCCCTTTTTGTTCTCTTCTTGTATCAACAATAACTGGGGACCTTTGTACGCTACAACTACAATTATCATCATTATTGCTCCAAGGACCCTTGATTCTGGGGTACTTTTCCGCCGTCGTTTCATCTCCATCTATCAAGTATCAATCCCCACCCTTGCTCGACCCTTAGGTGTCATCGCGTGAAATTCTCCGTCTTCTCCCCTCCGATCTCTTAGTTTGCCTCACCCCACACTGTTCCCCGGAGTTAGAGCACGTGCGCATTATTGACTGTGGTCCCTCGATGGTACTCAAGGCTGAACCATGTAAATCAATTGGAAGCTATCCGATTCACACAGCACATTCTCCGGACATTTTAGCATCGATTCACCCCCATAAGAAACGCCTTTGCCGTCTGTTGATCCCTGGCCCCTCTTCGGAGGTGGCTCAGCGGCCATGGATTTATACCAATCGATGCTGACCACACGAGGGATCTATTCGGAGACGCCCCCGGACATTCGGACACGGTTGGATGATCACCCTACACTCCTGGTGAGCTGGTGGGCGACCGGATTCTCCCTGGCTTTCATTATAACCCGTGTCTGTGGTCGCTATGTCCGGACTGAGCGGTTCTTCCCAGAGGACAAGATGATGATGGTCAGCGTGATTCCGTTGTTGATCCGGATGGCGCTGGTGCATGTGGTACTGCTCTATGGCACGAACAATACCAAGACGGCTGGCCTGACCGAGGAGGATATACGCCAGAGAGAAATTGGCAGCAGGCTGGTCCTTGCCGCCCGAATATTCTATGCGATTTTGTAATACGCCTTGCCCCCGAATTTTGATTCCGTTCTTGTCCTTGCGGGTATACTGATGATTTACTTCTGCGAACAGCATTTGGATTGCGAAATTCACCGTGTGCGAGTTTCTGAAACGAGTTGCAGGGATGATCTGGCAGCGGTCACTCCGAATATTCCTCCAGATCATCTACTACTTCCTGGCGTCGACGTTAATCGCGGTGCTGATTGCGACTCTCGTTGAATGTCAGCCTTTTGACCACTACTGGCAGGTTGTTCCGGATCCAGGGCCGCAGTGTCGCTTGGGCTATGCCAACCTGATCACGATGGGGGCATGCGACATCGTCACCGACCTGCTTCTGGTCGCCTATCCCATTCCGATTGTCTTAATGACGCATATGCCCATGAAGCGCAAGGTGATCCTCGCAATGCTCTTTGCCCTCTCTCTGATATTGGTTGGGATCACCTGCTATCGCGTTCCGTCGGTAATTTGGCACAACGGATCCCAGCAATACCGATCGCTTCTAGCGTCGCTAGAGATTCTAGCCGCGACGGCGGTCTCCAACGCAGTTGTCATCGGCTCATTCGTCAGAGATAAGGGCGTTAAGAAGGCGAAGTTTAAGAAGGCTGTTGGTTCGGCCTCGGTGAGCGAGAGTATGGATCACAGCTCGACGCGCCGCGCCACCATTACCTACCATCAATGGGGCAGCGACTCGGATCTTGCGGGCGATCTGGGTATGCGACTGGCTCCTGACCTTCACTCCTCGGACAACAAGATCCCCCGTCCAGCTCCAATCGCCGTACCCCACCATCCCCTCACGGCCCAAACGGGGAAGCTGACCCCGAATTGGTCCTTTGGCAACCAGCGTCACTCGATGGGAACAGATGACGACATACCGTCTACAACCGGTAGCTTGGAGCTGAAGATCAGCCCTCATGAGTACATTGAGACCAACAAAACCCCTCACAAAAATTCCAACGATGCCGCCCTCTCCTCCCCTAGCAAAGTCTCCATCTTCGATGTCGGCGGGCTACTGGACGACTCCCTAACGCCAGGGTCTCACAACTCTTCTGCCGAGTCGACACGTCATCGCGAGCCGAGCTTTGGCTCGCAACAATATCGCAACGGTAGCAGAGCTTTCCTGCAGGACGTCGGGGGCTTACTCCCACCGAACACGAGAAATGGCCGCCGACGGGGCTCGAGTGTCCACTTTAGCGACTCAACAGATCCCCCTGTGCCTCCGTATCACTCCCAGCGGGATACACACGCGCCCATTCTGGAAACGTCCGGTGATGTGGAGCTCCAGGATGTCGGCGGGCTTCTCTCGAGGGACACATGAGACATTTGACGTCTGAATACGATCGAATGTACTGTATGATAGCATCACGACCTACTTTCTGTTTTGTTTACCCCTCTTGGGCTTTCAACTGGGTCCGTGGTTATAGACCTAGGGGTTTTGCCTCATTTTTGTGCTTTAGCGATGGCGTTGGTGTACTGCAGTGCTCCGGCACTGGTTACATATTCCATTTGGATTGTTCGAAACTTGGGTGGGGTTTGGATCTATATTATACCCAATTAGGGGAATATTTATTGGACATACCAACAGTCAATCTGTGGCAACCAGGATATTCATAATCTTCTAGAGAATGGGTCGGCCATATCAGATCTATATATATTGTCACCAATTCGAGAGGTGCCAGCAAGAAATAGGAGCTAACCATGAGCACTGATCATGCAAGCACTGTTATTCGTAATAACGTTCAAAAAGATCTATAATCCATGAGACTTGGTAGGGCCTCAAAAGCAGAGCAGTCGGGAATTTAACTTTGCATTTCTCATGTGTCAAGAGATTTGCCTATCAGTCAATTAGGGGCTTAAGGGAGCAACCTAACAACCCCCGATGGTCTAGTTGGATATGGCGGTCGGCTGTAATGGATAATTGTAACCGACAGGTCGCCGGCTCGATTCCGGCTCGGGGGAGTACGGGTTACCTTTTTCCCCCCCCTTCTATCACTTCTATTTTTTTCCTCTTTTCTCTTTTTCGCCTCGCGTCTAACTCAAGCAGTGGTTTGTTCCATCCAGTTGGCCATGAATCAAAACCATCGACGAGAAGAGCACGCCCATCGGGAGTCCCCTCAAACTTGCTTGCAGAATTTCAGAGTTGTGCGACATACCACACTGAAATCGAAACCCATCTTGATTGTGTAGGGAACTGGTCCTTGAGTCGCTCCAGAAATCCCCCGGTCACTTGAAGAACTGCTTGCCCACTGCTACTACAGACTGCTATCATCTTTCCGTCCTTCATATTTGAAGAGCTCAGCCAAGCCAGCTCCGAAGACTGCCCTATCTACCTGAACGGCTCAAACCCTGAACTTGGCCACAGTCCAAGAACAGTCCATCTCACATCAGACTTAGTGAATGCTGACCCTTATCCATCGTCCTTCAACCCCCGATGGTCTAGTTGGATATGGCGGTCGGCTGTAATAGAATAATTGTAACCGACAGGTCGCCGGCTCGATTCCGGCTCGGGGGATCAGGATATCTTTTTGCCTGTTTAATTTTTAGATCGTAAAGAGGCGGAGATGAAGCCCTCGAGGCTAAGTAAGGTACTTCCTCGTTAAGCACGTAGGTGTAGCCAATGTAGTGGGGTTGCGGCAGAGTTAGCTAAGGTACTTTTTTTTAAGAACGTCGAGGCTCACTGGCTGGTGGAAGTTGGAGCGTAGGCATCCATGCTGTCTTTCTCCGCCGCATTTCAGCTACTGGCACTGGTAGATTGATGTCAGGACCCGGTTGCTCTACTCTGCTGGAAGTTGAAGCGATTTTTCAGCGATATGTTGGTATTCGAAAAGAGAACTGGCTGGTCATTGACCTGACCCTGGTTTATGAGATCATAACAGGTCAATGTTAGCATCTCGGAAACCCCCGATGGTCTAGTTGGATATGGCGGTCGGCTGTAATGGAATATTGTAACCGACAGGTCGCCGGCTCGATTCCGGCTCGGGGGATTATGAGATATCTTTTTTGCTCTTTGCAAATATCCTCTCTCATTCCGATCTACCTAAGCTGCTGCACCAACTTGCGCCCACCAATCATGGAAACCATAAAGTAGTATAGATCAAGCCAATTACAAGAATAAAGTAGCTATAAACGGTGCTGGTCCTGCTGGACGAGTTTGATGCCCGTGACACGTGGGGACGCAAGGGGCCAGACCATCGGATGGAAGACACCATTGTATCAGACTGGCGTGTACCCTGCATATCATCCACGTTGCAGCGGAACGAAGCTATTCTCAGAGAACTAAAAATATACTCAATCGAAGAATGGATCTAACCAGTCAAAAGAAGAACAAAAAACAAAAAATAATATCTCTAACTCCCCCGAGCCGGAATCGAGCCGGCGACCTGTCGGTTACAATTATTCCATTACAGCCGACCGCCATATCCAACTAGACCATCGGGGGTTTCGGAGACATCCGCCTCGATGTAAAATTTAAACTCACAAAGCTAGACGCTTGAACGGAAACACCTCAGTTTAGCAGCACACACCTGTCGTACGTAGAGCTCTTGTACTCAGTAGATACCTTTTTGTTGGAACCATGCAAGACATCGCTGTATCTACTAGCCAGGTCAAATAGCCAATTATTGGTCTGTATGGTTGCGCATCTCCAGAGTAAACATCATTAGAGCAATAGGATCCTCCACCTCAATGCTGTGTCGTGGGCAATCGGGCACTGATCCGCAGCAACATATTTCGACATCTTTGCACTTGTCACATATCGTCGAGCAGCCGGCAATGATAAATGCTCATGATACTTGACGGAGTATGAAAAAGCACACAATAATTGATTTTATTGGATGAATGCGTCCAAGCAAACAGGGAAAAAAAGACAAAAATATAACGTCCCCCGAGCCGGAATCGAGCCGGCGACCTTTCGGTTACAATATTCCATTACAGCCGAACGCCATATCCAACTAGACCATCGGGGGTTTCGTTAGTGCTTTTGAAAAAAGTATACCACATATGGTCCCTTCCCAAAGAAACTACCTCTCCTCAGGCAGTTGGCCAGTCCCTTGCTCCAACTGTCGTCTTGACGTTCACGATCCACCTATGCAATGTAACTTTCTACGAGGAATCCATTATCATACAGGATATGGCTATTTCCATGTATGCAATGTAGGAAGCAGAAGTGTGCTGACAGTCCGATCACGTGTGCTCGTGTCATTACGGGGTAGCGCGTCCTTTAACCCAAACAAGCCTGTAAACAGAGCCCAGTCCCTTGACAACCACCACTTGCGACCGACAGCAACAAATCGACCGACTTGAATAACTCATGTGCCATACAGCTTCAAGTTGACGGTGGCGTTCTTTTTTAATGCGATCTCCTTTTTGGTATAATAATTAAGGAAATGGAGACTTTCGCCGCCCGTCTCGCCAGCTTTGATCTGGTTCTCCATCCCGAACGACGACGGACATCGAGCGCAAAGTCCGTCAAGCCGATATCTTGGCCTCATAGCAGGCCGTCGCCTGCAGAGGTATATCACTCTTTAATATCTGTATCTCTGTTGATGCAATGGCTGACTCCTACCTAAAGCTAGCGCATGCAGGATTCTACTACAACCCCTACGAGACCAACCCCGATAATACGACATGCTACTTATGCCAGCGCGCGCTCGACGGGTGGGAATCGGAGGATAACCCGATTACTGAGCATCTTAAACACTCAAAGGATTGCGGATGGGCTATTATGATGGACATCGAGCAACACAGCTCAAATCCCGCTGAGATTGAAGATCCAACAAGCGACAGGATAGCGCAGGCAAGACAAGCCACGTTTGGCGATCAATGGCCACACGATGGCAAGCGGGGCTGGGTTTGCCAATCTGAAAAGGTAGTGTTTGACGTGTTCTCAATTCCAACGCGCAATGCAACTTGAATTTGCAACCTAATATTTTGTTCATGGCAGATGGTGGAAGGTGGATGGTACTTTTGCCCGACTGAGGAGAGCAATGATCTAGCCAGTTGTGCTTACTGTAAACTGTCTCTCGACGGATGGGAACCCAAAGATGACCCTTTGTCAGTGCCTCATCGCTCCTTCCCACTTGATATTCACTGACTTGCCTAGTGAGGAGCACTACCGACGGTCAGCCGATTGTTCGTTCTTTGTCTTTGCACAGCCTCCTGGCAAGAAGTCCAAATCTTCTCGATCAAAAAAGTCGCGCGTTTCAAAAGCGTCGTCTCGTCTCTCGACCCAGTCTACGGTATCGGAAGCGCCTATGACCGGGCTTGACAACCAAATGGATGAGGATGATATTCCTCAGCCGCCAACCAAAACGAAAGCCTCAAAGAAGTCATCGAAATCCAAATTGAAGACCTCGAAATCTAAGAAGGGTGATACCCTGGAGCCTGATAACCAGATGGACTTAGACACTGTGGAATATGCCCAACCTGAACCTGCCAAGCCCAAGCGGACCAGAGGCAAGAAAAGGTCTAGTGAGGAAATGGACCCAGAAGAGTCTAACATAGCTATTGCAGAAGAGATTCATCAATCCGAACCTCCGACCAAGAAGAGAGCGACAAAGGCGCGCAACAGTGCTACTCAGCGAGAAGACAGCACTCGCAGTGATGTTGCTATCGCAGGTATGCATGAGCCTGACGACGAGGCCTTGCTCGAAGCTGAAGCTAAGAAGGGGCGTGCGACCACCAAGAAGAAGACATCATCCAGAAGTCGGAAGGTTTCAGAGGATTCGTTGGTAGCGAAGGCAGCTCCGCAAGCTCGCTTACCGCGAGATTCCGAGATTGATGCAGCAATTGAGGCCGAACTTGAAGTCGGCGAGCCTATGGTCGAAGAGCCTCTGGCGGAAACACACAAGCCTTCGAAGAAATCGAAGTCCAAAAAGAAAACAAAGAAGGCGGCAGAAGAGCCACCCAAGGTGCAGCATGATACTGTCGAGCGAAACGAAGAGCAAGAGTTGCGTCGAGTCGACGACGATGGATTTATTTACAGGCGGACAAGTGATGTTCAGTTGCCAGCCGAGCAGCCGAAACCAGCTAAATCCACTACCAAGCAGAGAATCTCAAAAGAAGCAAGGCTTTCAGAAAAGAAAACGTCCGAGTCACCCGGGAGTCTCCCAGCAACAAAAGCTGACGCTGCAGATGTTGATGCTGAAGCTGATCGTAGGTACCAAGGGTCTTCTGTGTCAGTGGAGGTAGCAGCAAGGAACCCAGAGCAAGGCTTTGAACCCGAAAGGAGAGGTAGTGGCTCTCAAACGAAGAAGGCGACCAAAAAGTCCTCGACCAGCAAAGTGAAGAAAACTAGTCACACAAGGGCCGTATCCCCAGAGTCTCTGGAGCCTTCAGAGGCTGCAACTCCTGCTTCCGAAAGGCCTGAAACAAGGCATAGCTTGAAGCCGGAGGCACCTCTGCAATTCGAACAAAGAAAGATTTCTCGCCACAGTGAAGACGACGTACGAGAGCAAGAGCTGGAGCCAGAATCGGAGCCAGAGCTAGAGAAGGACCTCGAGGACGACATAGAGCAAGACAGGGACGTAGATCCGGAGCCGGAGCCGCAGCTGGAGGTCAACGAAACGCCTGTCCATCGCCGGTCATCCAAAGTACCCCCGAAGACGACTGAGAGATTCAGCGACATCCCCCAAGAGAAGCAATTTGCCAAGTCGATTGCGGAAACTCGAACGCCGAATTCCCATAAAGTGCCACAAGCTAGAATAAACTCTGCTCGACAGGAAAGCGATGCGGTGTCGCCTCTCCCTTCCACTTCGAAGGGTTCGCCATCTTCATCACCCCAGTCGTCCGATGCTGAGAACCAACCTCCAACCATACAACCATCGGCTCTAAGGACACAGGTAGCATCACCGTCTAAGGAGAAAGTGGTTCGCATTCCCCTGGCAACCAGTACGCCCTCGCCTTCCAAACGAAATGTGAACTCCGGCGCACTCAAGACTTTACACCCCTGGACACCTATTGACATAGACGAAATTCTCTACGCCTCAATGAGTGATAAGGAGAACGTGGATGTAGGGGCTGCTCTGAACAGTATCAAAGGAGATCTTACAAGTCCTGAGAAGAAGATGACTGTAGAAGAGTGGATTTTCTGGCATGCTCGGAACGGAGAGGAAAAGCTCAAGCGCGAATGTGAAAGATTGGTCAGTCAGTTCGAGAAGGAAGGGGCCAGAGCGATGCGCGCACTGGAAGGGATCGAGTGCATTGATTGAGAAATGGCGTTTGATTTGAACATGGTTGGTGTTATGGGATGGGAACAACGGCTCTCTGCTTAAGCAATTATTTTGTTGAAGGTATTCCCGGGCACGATATCTCTGGAGCGTACGTATCTGCAATATCACAGCGCGGTAAATGCAATTTCTGTCTATTTGACACTAATAACCCAGTCCCGAAGAAAATCCCAAAGTAAAACCAAACGCCTGGGTATCTGCAAAACTTTCATCCTCCAATGAACTGAAGTCTTTCGTATGTCCAATCCCTTTTGACGCCTCGTACTATGCGATAATGCCAAGTCGACCTTCCCAGGAATCTTCCTCCTGCTTGATCCCATTCTCTCCATTTTTCCGACGCTTTTCGTTCCTCTTTCTTCTCTTTTCCTCTCTCTCTTTGGCCTCTTGTTCCTCCCTCTCCTTCAATCTTTCGCCAAGATCCAACTGCCAGGCCCGCCGTTCTTCCTCCTCTCTGACTCGCTTCTGATGAGCCAGGAATCGTAACCGCTGCCGCACATCCTCCAAACTAGCACGAACCACCTCGCCACTCTGGCCCGTCGCAATCAAGTGTTGCTTGCTGTTCAAATGTTCCACCAGCTGCAGATTGTCCTTGAAGGTAAGGTCACAGTCGGAGCAGTAGAATCCAGCACCGCGGCCCCTTTTACCCACTGCCGATCCCGCTGGAACGATCGTCGTCTTGCCCACCATCGAGGCGACATCGAGGCGCTGTCTGCGCGAGGTCGTGGCCTCGAGGGTGCTGTAGTCCACCGGCGCATGCCATTTCTTGCCTAGGAGTTTTGCCTCGTAGCGGGCCTTGCCCTCTTCTTTGCGCTTCGCTTCTTCATCTGCGGCTTTTTTGGCGTATTCTTCTCGGTCCCATGTTTTGCGGAAGGCGGTATCTGATGAGGGGGCTCCGTATGCGGTGTTGCCTTTGCCGGACATTGTGAGGAGGGTTGGTGGGATGACTTGTAGTGGGCTTTCTCAGGCGGTGTTTTAAATATCCCTTCGTACAGAAATGGATGTGGTAATTCTCAAAGGATGAAAATCGATAAGAATCGCCGTGATGATGAAAGATGAAGCTTTCCATTGTGACGATGGCAATAGATGTCCGGAAGTGGCGGGCGGTGAGGCTGTGGCTGATTGAGATCACATCACCGCCAAAAGAACAAGGGGAAACGTCGCGTCCTTTCTTCCTTCCAGCTTGTTATTAATATTGTTTGCCATCATTTGCTCGAGCTGTGTATCTACTTTCTTAGTTTCAAGTTTATGGTTTTGTACAGAGAGTGTGGGATGAATGGCGCATTGAGTCGATGGCCGATCACTATCACTCTTACCTATCATCTCGAATTCTCGACGCCGACAGGAACCCCAGTGAAACAGGTCATCGGATTCCTTTTATGGGGTAACGTCGGTGCCTCAAGTTGCTTTAAATAGTTGAAACACTTCGTATTGTCTGCCCATTCCATGCTGTCCGTGTCTGGACAGCCACGTCGCTTTTGTATTGAGTTTCAGGCAACACCTTTGCTCCAGTAACATATAAGTGTTTGTGTTGGACTTGTATAGGTGGAGTTGGCTCTGGCTTTCTTTCTACTTTTGACTCTCAACGAACCCATCCAAGCATCCAAGGAAATATGCAACCAGATAAGCATTCAGTCATGGGAGCCCCTATGGAAGGAGAATATGTTTCCTTTGAACACTCTCTTATGGCTCTACCAACAGAGCTGCATTTACAAATCTCCTCGTATCTTCCCTATCCTGAC